ATTTCCCCAAATAAACCAGTTTTTAGAAAACCGCAACCAGACGAGACAAGATCAAAATGAATTTTTTATGAGAGAGCCACAAATTTGATTAACACAACCTATCCGGTTATCCGAACCCAAATATTCAAAACAGGCATAAAAAACATGCCCATCACTCTGCCCCGGGGCCAGACTCATGAACACTGTGTTCATCAAGAACTGCAAGAAGCCCATATCCGACCTTTTCCCCCTTGAGAAGCTGGACAGGGGGGTCGTCCCACAGTTACAAAACAACAGACATACCCCACCCCCCAAAAAGGGGGGCAGTAAAGCAACACAAAGAACTAAGACCAATAGCACTAACACCCATACAAAAAAATCTTTGAAAAGGGTCCTAAAAGAAAGACACCACGCATCTAAAACCCATCATTACACAACCCGGGGAACATGGGTTAAAACAGTCGCTGCTGTCTTCTCAACTTTTGGCCCAACCGACAAGGTTAAAACTAGAAGACAAAAAAAAAATGCAGAGTAAATATACAACTTTGCAAAACCCTTTCGACAATGTGCCCAGGGCGTAATAGCGCACAAAAGGCGTGAAAAAGGAATAACAAAAAGTCGGTCAGGGATCTATAATTTCCTCAACTAACAAACACAAGAGTGTCGTCAACAATAAAGCCCGAGGCAGCTAGGGGAAAAAAGCTCTGTTCCACAAGGCACAGTACTCGCTCCCATCTTGTTCCTCACCTAAATCCGAATAGACAAGGGGGTTTTACCCCAAAACCGGCTTCCTTTCGATGACACCCGAAATCTGCATGACAGTTCTTTTCCTTGCAGACACTGCAAAACTCCAGGGAGACATCAACCAAAACTTTTAGTGGGGTCAGAAAACAATATGAATTCAACGATGAGAAATACAATCTACACAGATATTGAAAACATGAAGGAAATTTAATCTTCATCACGAGTCACCAAACCAATTCAGGCCACAAAATATAGAGCGAAACCCCAACGTCAAAGACCTTGAGTGATTCATGTCGGAGATCTCACCTTCAAGGACCATAACATTGTATCAATCGCATCTGCTAGAAAAATGACAGGATGATAATGAGAACCTTCAAAACTACGGGAGGCCAAGCCCATGATTCACTCTTTCAGTCCACTTGTTCAATCTAGGCTGGAATATTGCTGTACACTAACAGCACCTTCAAGGCAGGTGAAATTGCCGACCAGAAAATGTAACAGAGAACTTTCACTGCGCGCGAGTAACGAATAAAACTCCACAATTATTGTGAGCCTGAGGTTCCTAAACCTGAATTCCCCTGGAACGCAGAGGGAGAGAATAACATGATTATCTACACCCAGGAAAAATCCTAGAGGGACAGTTACCGAACTTGTAACACGAAAATCACCCACTACGAAAGCGAAAAGACTTTGGCAGACGATGCAAACCATCCCCCCAATGAAAAGCAGGGGGTTCACTTAGCACGTTAAGAGACCATACAATAAGGTGTCAGGGCAGCGACTGTTCAACTGCCTCCCAGCACACATAAGGGGATTACCACAGACCCCTGCAGTCTTCAGCTGCACTGGACAAGCACCTAAAGTCAGTTCCCGTATGCACCTGGCTGTGGCTCGTATGTTGGATTGCGTGCGCCAGCAGCACAGCCAGGTTTATCAGCTCTGAATCCACCAGAGGCCTGGTCTCATACGCTGGGCCGCGGGGGCGTTGACCCCCGGAACTCTCTCCAGTAAACTCCAGGTAAACACATAGACAATGATGCAGCCACACACCGTGTCTTCCTTGCCGATGACACCCGAATCCTGCATGAACCTGTCTTCCTTCAGACACTGCAAAGCTCCATGCGACATCAACCAAATCTTTCAGTGGGCTGCAAAAACAATATGAAGTTCAACGATGGAGAGAATGTCAATTACTCAATATGGTAAACATGCGGATTAAATCTTCATCAAGTACAAAACAAATTCTGGCCACAAAATAGAGCGAAACACCAACGTCAAAGAACTGGGAGTGATTATGTCGGAGGATCACTCCTCAAGGACCATAACATTGTATCAAACGCATCCTGCTAGAAAAAGACAGGATGGATAATTAGAACCTTCAAAACAAGGAGGCCAAGCCCATGATGACACTCTTCAGGTCACTTGATTTCTATCTAGGCTGGATTATTGCTGCACTCTAACAGCAACCTTTCAAGGCAGATGAAATTGCCGACCTAGAAAATTACAGAGAACTTTCACGACGCGCATAACGGAGATAAAAAACCTCAATTACTGGAGCGCTGAGTTTCAAACCTGTATTCCCTGGAACGCAGGAGGGAGAGATACATGAAATATACTCCTGAAACTCCTAGAGGGACTAAGTACCGAACTTGCACACGAAAAATCACTCACTACAAAAGCAAAAGACTTGGCAGACGATGCACACCCACCCCCCAATGAAAAGCAGGGGAGTCCACTAGCACGTTTAAGAGACCATACAATAAGTGTCCCGGGGCCCGGACTGTTCAACCTGCCTCCCAGTCACACATAAGGTGGATTACCAACAGACCCCTGCAGTCTACAAGCTTTCACTGGACAAGCTACCTAAAGTCAGTTTCTGATCAGAGCCGGGCTGTGGCTCGTTCGTTGCTTTTGCGTGCCAGCCAGGAGCAACAGCCTGGTTGATCCAGGCGCTGATCCACCAGGAGGCCTGGTCATAGACCGGGCCGCGGGGCTTGACCCCCGAAACTCTCTCCAGAAAACTCCAGGTTAAACACTACACTACAACAACATCCACACAAACACTAAACAACACCAACACTACGACACTAAACACACACCTCACTACAGTAAACAAACACCACACTACACGAAAACAACACCCACAACACTAAACACACCACAACTACAAAAAATAACCCAGTGCTATATTCCTTTATTATATCCCAGTTTCACATAACACAAATTAATTAACCACACACTACGTGGCCCACACTACAACACTTTACATTGTATGCTCTATACTCTAACACCTCACAACACACAACTCACTTACACTAAACAACACCACACGACACCACTTTTACATTATGCTCTATAACCTAACACCTCACAACACTACAACACACTACACTAAACAACACCACACTACACCACTTTACATTATGCTCTTTAACCTAACACCTCACAACCTACAACACACACACTAAACACACCACACTACACCACTTTACATATGCTCCTTAACCTAACACCTCACAACACTACAACACACTACGGTATACTTCTGAGGCATAAATACGAGTATGTTTTTGATCATTATTGTACAGGAATCAAAACTTCGTACAATTTTACTGCTAAAATGGTCAGATTTGCACTAACACTTGAATATCACTTCCCGCCGTTGCTCAATTAGGAGGTATCTTTTTTTAATGTTTAATTAAAGCTATACCGCTTAGGGCTTTGCAAGTTATCCTAGCCATTCCAAGATGCTGGGAATGGGCTCAATAAATATGGTCACAGGGCACCTGCATGTGTCATTTGTTCCTAGAATGTGGTGCTCGTTACTATACACAAGATTTGAAAATTTGAATCCGATTGGATGAGGGGCTCTTGAGTTAAGAATGAAAGAAAATCGAGAAGATGGAAGAAAAAAGAACCACACGGTAGAACAAAAGTCTGGTTTGTAGGAGTTAGGAATGATAATGTCAGAGGATCTTACCTTCAAGGATAACACCAGTGGCATTATCACAACTGCGTAGAAAATGATAGAATGGATAATGAGAACCTTCAAAACAAAGTATACCAAGCCAATGATGATCCTCTTCAAGTCATTTGTTTTCTCTAGGCCGGAACACTGCTGTCCACTAACAACTTATATTAAGGCAGGCGAAACTGCATATCTGGAGATTGTACAGAGAACCTTCACTGCACTCCCAAGTTCAGTCAAACACCTTAATTACTGGGAACATTTGATGTCCCTTGACATGTACTCCCTAAAACGCAAGCGAAGAAGATATATCATAATTTACTCCTGGAAAATCTTATAAGGACTAGTCCCAAATCTACCTGCAGAAATTACTCTACACGAAAGCAAAAGATTACGCAGAAGATGCAATATACCCTGTAAGAAAATCAAGGGTGCTGTGAGTACAGTGAGAGAAAACAATAAATGTCAGGGGCCCAAGACTATTCAACATCTTCCCATCATACATAAAAGGGATTATCAATAGATCCCTAGCTATTTTCAGAAGGGAACTAGATAGATTCTTCAAGTCAGTACCTAACAAATTGGGTTGTGGTTCGTACACAGTACTGCATATGGCCAGCAGTAACAGCCTGGTTGATCAGGCCCTGATCCACCGGGAGGCCTGATCAAGGACTGGGCCGCAGTGGGGAGGGGGTTGACCCCCGGAACACCCTCCAGGTAGGTAGAGACACTGCTGGTGCTGCCTCAGTGTCGTTGTAAACTGCGGCCAACCTGGAATTTACCTGGAGGTCGTCATGGGGTTCAACGCTCCTAAGTCCTTGACCGGCCTCCCAGTGGGTTAGGGCCTGATCAACCAGGCTGCTACTGCTCTCTTTCATATTTACAATAAATAAATAACCTACAATGTAACACAATATGCTTTTTAATTAGTTATTGAAAACTAAATTTCTTGTTTTATTGCTTTTAGCCGTTAATAACGACGTGCAATCGTCCTTCTATTCCATATGTTTTGACTGTAAATATTAACAATATAAATAGATCAAGGAAGACAGTTTTTAAATAAAACCTAACAGCAAATATCACTATAATCCAATATCTTACAACAGAATATAAACCAGTACGTCATTGATGCTGGCGCACTATATAATACTGACGTGATGATCGTCGAACTTAAACGAAAATGAGAAATTTGCGTAATTATTTTTATTCTCATTTCATAGTTTGAAATTCGCGCGTGCTTGGTGCTGCCATCTAGTGGAGGCTTGGTGAAGCTGTTGCCATGGTAAAATAAAAATCCCGTTATTCCCCTCTACATGTCAACAAACAATTCGCCAGCTGGCGAGGAATACTCGTGAATTTACTTCAAAGTTTTCGGAGTAAATAAAGCTTCAAGGGAGACCCCATGTGAAGACAGTGATGCTAACAGCGATTACAAGAAATAATGTTCTGAAGACCAGCCATACTGCCTCATAATGTCTTGGGCGCATTTTTTTTCACAGCGGTGAATTAAATCATAACATGTGAATAAATCGTATAAATATTTATTTGCAATTTTTTTTACGGAGTGAGTTAGTTGAAGTAATGAGTAACAAGTTTACTTGCAATATACAAAATTATATTACCTTTCACTCCTGTTTCATAAGTGAGTTCTCAAATTCAAAATACAAGAATATATAATTTTTTTTAAAGAGAATAAAAACAGGATTTCTTTCACTGTTAAATTTCACAATGGATAAAACTGCCCGTTATATATGCTTCTATATTCTTATTAAGTGTTATTAATATTCAATACACAGGATCTATATTTTGACGTTAATGACTGATTCCCAAATCATGGTATATTCATATTTCAAACTACATTAGCATGATTTCAACCTTGAAAATTGTATATATATATTTTATTCAGATCGCGTGGGTATGAAATATGCATTTTCAGAATAAAAGATAAAATCTGGTGTGGTAACGAAGGACGGTAAGTGTCATGGGACGAAGTGAACCATGTTGGATGTATTATAATTATGGGGGAGCGCTAAACCCGTAGGATTATACAGCGCATGTGGGGGATGGAGCATCTCGGCACAATTCAGGGAACTGGGAGCACAAGATCCAAATTCCTAGATCAAGAGCCCCTCACCACAACAAGGAACCTCCCTTAAGGGTATTTTGGATGTAAAAAGAATGGAAGTAGTTTCACAGAGTGGGAGGAAGATGGAACAAAAGGATGACGCAGAAGTTACACACGGAATTGTTTTGCTGTTCTCCAGGACGAGTGTGCGATTGTTGACAATGGTTAGGGTAGGTAAGATTCGTCAGGAAACAAGACGAGTGTTCCAGACGAGGGTCTTATGTCATATGATGACCCGCCACTGGAACTTTTTGTTGGTAGATAACAAGACGAATGTCTTAACGTGTGAAAAACATGACTTATATATTGTTGAGGACTCTCGGGTTAGATATACATATTGAACATTCTGTATCAAGGATGGGAAGACAGATGGTGTGTGTGTGTCCTTGGAACAAGTGTGAGTGATGTACTTAATAACAGGTTAGAAAAACCCATATCAGGTAATGGGTTGAACGTTATTATCTGTCTCAGATAATAACGTTGATGTTGGGAAATGCACGAGAAAAAATTTGCTGGCAAAGTACAAGGCAGCTATTAATTTAATTAGGTCACAGGAAGGGATTCCAATCAAATGTAATATTTTACATATGAGGGATTCTTGATCCAAGGAAATGTTTCCTCTAATAAATAATCCTGAACTGTACATACCTGGAGTATACCTGGAGAGGTTTTCGGGGGTCGGCGTTCCCGAGGCCCGGTCTGTGACCAGGCCTCATGGTGGATCAATGCCTGATCAACCAGGCTGTTACATAAGTGTCTTGTTCCACATCTCGTCGGTATCACCACACCATTGTTCACTAAAACATTTCTTAGTAAAAAGAGAGGCGTTTACAGGCCAGTTAAACGAAGACGGAGTCACCTTATTGGCCAATATATTCAGTTTAAGAGATAAGTGAAAAGGGAAATAGGGAAGGCCATGAGAGAATATAAAATTAGGATTGCGAGAGAATCGAAGACCAACACATAGGCTTCCTTCGGGTATATAGGAATAAGATTTGGGAAAATATAGGTTCATTTAGATTACTGTTAGTAAAATAAATGTGTACCATTTTAATAAGTGTTTCCTCTGTTTTTGCACAAGAGGACATAAATGAAATCCCAGAAATAAATAATTATACAGGTCAGGACGAGAGTAAATTGCATAGTTCTCAGACAACTAGATAGATTTAAATCAAATATGTTACTCGTCTCTGATGAGCAAGTAAGTTTCTTTGACTGCTACCCAGATCAGCATGGGCATGGAGGCGTACACTGTGGTGGGGAGGATTGGTGAGGGTGCCCACGGGGTGGTGGTGCGAGCTAGACACAACCTGACAGGGCAGATGGTGGCACTAAAGAAGATCCCACTGAGAAGGCTGGACCAGGGTATGCCAACCACGGCACTCAGGGAGATAAAGGCACTACAGGAGATCAATTCCAAACAC